CTTTCACGTGAAGGCCAGGAAGTTTGTGCGGGGGCGTTTATGGGAGAGTGTTGTGTTGAGTGTAATTGGTGGCCAAATGCAGACGGTGTCAATGAGGGCGCATAAGCTGAAGAGGCCTGTAGCCGACCGCCAAGGGAAGCCAACGCAGCCAGAGTTGCTAGGCCGGAGGCAGTAACGTCGACGTCGGCAAACAGACCCGCCGGAGTGACTGAACCGGAGAAATGGGCGTTCAAAGGACTAGGGAGAACTGACTTGACAGGAGTGGCTGAAGCACTGCTTAGGGGAACGCTACTAAATTCGGATGGTACTGTGATGGAGGGAGGGAGTCCTAATTTTCCAGGAGGGGACTCGCATTGTCGGGGGCTTCGTGGAAAGCAGAAACCAAGAGATGTCGGCTGTGATGCATTGGCGACTCCGCAACCACTCGATGAGGTAAATGTGCGTTTACCGGGACCTTGGCGTGATGTAGAGTCCGTCCACACGAATGCTAAATGGGCAAAAACATAGGCTGATAGGTGGATAAATGACCGTCTCTTGTTTATCAATAACAATTTCCAAGTTGGGTTTACTTTGATCAGAAACGTTGATGTATAAAAGAACCGGGAAGTTGATAAGTGTTCAAACTTTTTCTCGTGGCTTTTCTAGCCATTGAAAATTATCCTTTGTAGGACTAAATGTCTAGAATAACTGGATAGCTTGCCGGAGGATCATATATAGGGAGGTGTCAGGCTATGAAAGATGTTCACTGGGGTAAAATAGTGGAGGGTGGATCTGTATTGACCCAACTCCGAGTGTACGCGCACTCACGACTGCTAGCAAGTGCGCGAGCATCGATACCTGCCTACTCCACTCCGGTCTGGCCAATCATCTCCCTACGACTGACTCACACATGACCTCGTTGTAGACGCTGTGATGACTCCCGCGCTCTCACACTTTCCCTGGTGGGTGATTTTACACTCGTCCGACTGCCAAATGCTTCAAACCTATTCTACATTACCTCTGTACAGAATACACTTTTCCTCCTTTTCGACGCATCGCTTCTTCCCTCCTCACACGGAACCGGACCTAAAGATGGCGGCGGCAAGGATTTTGCCTATTAACTTAAGGCGCAACGATAGATCCATCAAATAGCCAATTAGGTGTCACCGCCAAGGGCATATTCATTTGGAGACAAGGGTGGATGATCGCACACCTTCTTGGGATCAACTTGAAAAGATATAATTCATTCTCTGGTCCCGAATTAAGACTAGAATCTGACCCCTTTACCTTTCTCTCCCCCTTTTCCCCTTAATTACTACTGATTGGTTTACTTAAAACTTTCGTTAACTCTACCCTCCTTTATATTACTGATGATGAATTAATCGAAAACGTTCGTTTGCCTAACTTGACTTTCTGAAAGATATAATTCTCTCACTAGTGTACCGTCCCCGGAGGGGTTTGACGGGGCAGGAGGGCGGGCGAGACGTGTTGATAGTTTCAGTGTGCAATATTTGTACTTTTTAATAACCAGAAATTGTTGCTTAGGTGTATATGAAAGCTGAATGTACCAGGGTGTGCGTTGGTAGGGACAACCTGGTCGCAGGTCTCAGAACTGTCGGAGCCCGACTTCACCAGTTGACCACCAGTGTTATTGCCGGGTACTGCCATCGAATCTGTACTCGGTTGCTGTTGACCAATCAGCTGAGGCCGTCGTGAGCAGTAGCTGGACATGTGAGCAGTCAGTGTGTCAAGACTGGAGAACGAGATTCCGCAGTAGACACATTTCTTGTCCCTCTTTGGTGCTCCTGGATTGACCTGGGGCTGACCCATTGTCAGAAGTAGGTCTGGGGACTGTGATCTCGCTGCTAAAAGGGGAAAAAGTGAAAGTAGTTTCCCTTCGATTAGGCGTTATCTCCGTCATATAATGGAGTACCAACTTATAATTTCCGACAGTATCAAGTGCAACACTTGGAGTTAAATGCCCAGACAATGCATTTTTAAGGTTAGACCTAAAATGTCAATGAACAGTTGTGTCTAAGGTAATCAGCTAGTATGGAACGCTGGGGTACCCAATGTTGATTGGAATCCCTAGTACTTGCGGCCTACAACGGCAAAAACGTAGCCAATCAGGTGTCTGGGCTTTTGGAAGTGCGTTGTTTTGCTGATGCTCTTCAATTCCCGTCCGAGTAAACCTGAGCTTCCTATAGTTGTTGTATAGTAAATAATTAGCATTTATCTTACATTTTTTCTGCAGCGACTGCACGCACAGTGTATTTCATTGAGGCGCTTCTAGTCTGGCATTTCAGACAGCTTCAAAACCTTAGAAGAGCAGAGTCCGTGCAGGTCTGGAGGTGTTCATGCTATAACTAATGCCTAAGTAGGAGCATGTTACAGCTAACCGAAAGGTCTGAGCAGCTGCACTTCAAATTCTTCTTTATTGGTATCGCTATTTCACTTTTATTTGTAGAGGGAAACGTGAATGAAAGGCGACACATCAGGCTACAGTTGTTACACGTGAACCGGATCAAACTGAAATAAGACAACATAATTCATTTGAGATAGTTGTGCCATGGAACCATTTAGAAGCGGTCGATTGCGCGGTAAAAGTAAATTCGAAAAATTCTGCGTATCGACGCAATTCGGCAGTGAAAATCCAAGTTACATCTGCGTCTGGACAAAGGACTTTCTAAAGGGGGACAGTTTTTCAAAAATTGGAATAACTAGGCAATCGTTTATTTTTTGGCGACCGAAACGACGTATGAGATAAGTACGGTCTGTCTTTACGCTCTTCGTAGAACTACAAGCAGAGATTAAAACAGTAGTGGTGGCAGGGAGGTTCTCCGACTACTCAAACTGGCATAGCCTTCACTGAAGAATAAAATGCGATCACTGGAACAAGAATTTTATTTTCCTGACGTTTCGGATTCTGTAAAGAATCCTTAATAGTAGGTCACCGTAAAATGGTGTGATACATGCATGCGGCCATCCGCATGTGTATCATAAGCATCAGCTGCTGTACGCATCATTTGGGGTCTTAATTGGGGCGGTAATGGCTTGACACTTTGCTTTCTAGTCATTAATTGCCGCGATTTCGTTATCCGTTTCGGATGCGGGCTTGATAATCGCACGACCATTATGTTCGCTGTCGTCAGAGTTGTTGCTAGGTGTATTCGCTTCTATCGGCAATAACCTTCACTACAAAGAGCTGTGAGTATATGGTTTTGACAGTTCAATGACGTCTTCTCTCAACCCTGCGCTACCGAGTCCGTGATGGCCGACAGGGCTACTTCACGAAATATGTCAGATAAGGATCAGTCTGTGTTATTGACATAAACATTTTCACAAAACTATGATCCTTTCTATTCATACTGCCGGTACTACAATGCCTATACTGTACCCATGCGCAGCAACAGTAATGTCCGAATGGTGGCGAACAAATAAAAGGCAATGATAGAGTAATGCTATGGACAAAGGCGATTGGTCGAAACTGGCTAATAGCCTGTCCGGTAAACTCGGTTGAGAATAGAAGGGGATGTGAAGCCGGAATTTAACAGTCAACGCTTCAGAAAACAAAAATGCAATCACATCTCCGTTTTCTGAACTGTTTTCTAGAACGCGCACATTCGCTCCTATCGGCGATCAACGTTTCTTCATGAGAACAAGTAACGGGGGCCTCCATCATGTATTCCTACACTTTATATTCGCTTAATGGTTTCGTGGTTTTAGAAACCTGCTGAAATATAATATCAGCTAATAATGAGTTTTTATTTTGAGAGTAAAAAAGACTTGTCAGATGCGTAGCTCCAGCAACCCCTTTTTCAACATAGAATAGCAAGAAGATTTCGTTGGGATTTATAAGCTTGTTTAGTTCTCCAGCGAATGGCATTTCTGTTAGGTCCCAAAGCCAAGTATGCACATTTCAACTCTAGCAATTGATTATCATTAGTTTAATGAATTACACTAGCAACACAAAACAAAAAGAGTTCCGCGAGTTCTAGACTTTAAAGTGGATGTAAAGCAAGTTAGACCTCGAAGTTTTCTTCAAGAAACAGTCTTCGGAACAGAAAAGTTCAAACTTCCATTATTCGACGTGTTTAAGAGCACTTAGTTGTGCTGAAGTTCATTGTGCTCTTATACTGTGATATACATGCTATCAGCTTTTGGAGCCGCACTTACTGAAGCTTGCATATAGAGATAGGATTGAACTCCGTAACAAACTAGCTTACTGGCAACAAGACAGATTGACTCCCACCGAAGCAATGCTTAAGTCGATACAGTAACGTAATATCTAGTTCAAATTGCTTAGAATTTAGCATTGCTCCCTGAATGCTCAGTGAGTCGTCAAATGCAGCCAAGTGAAACCAAAACCTGTTAAGGCTGAGTGGATCAAGAACCTGGAAAAACCCAATAAAATTACCACGAACGAGGGGAAGACCGTGGAAAATAATCAGTCTTTATATAAATTTTGCACTTTTAAATTGGCTGAATGGGCATTATTTGACTGAAAAAAGAAGTAGACGCGTTTGTTGGGACAAGGAATTCATCTGCCTGACGTTTCGTGTTCCCTCTCGAATCCATCAGCAGAGAGAAAGAAAAGTCAGACGAATAAAGTTCTTGTCCCAGCGACCGCGTCTACTTTCTCTCAATTACTTCCTGGGACTCGCACCTTCGCTTGTATCGACAGTGCTTTGACTTCCCCTTGCACACAGAGGAAGCAGAGCAAATTTATAGTACTTATATTGCAACTCACCAGGGGAGCAGGTTGAATGATTACCTTTAAAAAGCTGAACGCGCACACAATAGATAACACGCTCCTGATTGAGTAGAACAACTGCAACGCACTAGTAACTAGGAGGGGTAAGTTTACCTGTACAATAAAATGGGTTTTATTGTGAAAAGGTGCCTTTTAGGTGACATCCAGAAGTCCCAACTCTTATGCAGGTCGTATTATTCCTTTTTCATGTATGCACATTACGAAATAATAGTCCCCAAGCTTCCGAAATCTGACTGTAGTCTTTTGACACATTCAGTTAATTTATATAGTTTCAGAGAGTGCTTGCAGAATCTGTATTATATTCTCCAGGTCGGAAATATTTTCATGACTTCTGTCAACAGCCATTTATAGTGCCTTTGAGATATTAAGTCAGTTGAGGAGGGGGGGGAGAACAGAAGACTAATTTCAGCTCTAGAAACAATGACACTGACTTAAAAATCTTTCCCAACAGCCATGCCCCTATGCGTCCTGCTTTTGGGAGGTCATTTGGGCGTCTGTTGATCAACCGGTCAAAGATGGTATCACAAGCGCAAACGCAGAGTTTCTAAAAAAACACTGGTTTGTCATAGAACGCTCAGGGAGACAAGGAAGGTGGGACTGGAAAAGGAGAGCTAGAGAGGAAAAAAATAAAACTTGTTCAGATGCCTATCTCTTTGTTTTCCAGTCGGGGGAGGCGGTTCATCTAAATTGTCCACGCAGAAGCACTGGCGACATCTCCCTAGTTGATAGATTACGTGCCGAATTTAGAATGTCAGTTACGTCTATGCTTTAGTCTCCCTACCTGTGCGCGTCTGGAATACGTCATAATTTATTCTGTCTAAATTTAAATAGTCAGGCTTCACGCAGCACTTTGCGCATAAGGCACAGTAATGTCTGCGGACATTTAAGAGAAATATAAAGAGGTGTTAAAAGGGAAGCTAAAAATACAAATTGAAAACTACATCAACAAACAAGACAACAGCAGCAACGGCGGCCAAAAGGGTATAATGGACAGCCTAAAGACCCACCTCCTGGTGGTAGGTTCCTCACACGTCCATGGAGCAGACTACCACGTGTAATAGTTGAGAGGGCAACAAGAGTCAGAAGTTCGCAACTGGCTAAAATGGAAAAAAATTCAGGGATATAAATAGGCAAAACCTGAGGAATAATGCCGTAGGATGAGTGTTTAGAAGGTTAGATAGGTTGAGCAAGCAAGTGGTGTTGGTGTGTCTCTTAAGCTCCTTACGTTTATCGATTGCAGACATCAGGCTTTTCAAATTCGCTAGTTGGGCTTCTTATTTCACCTGCAAAAAGACCGGTTTTTCTACAGCTGATATTCATGAGTTCGGCTAACTTATAATTACAAAATTAGTGGATTATTTTCCTTAGTGCGTGCCGCACTGCTTGAATTTTTCGGATCACGGTCTGCATGTTGGTTGACATTCGATACTGATAATCTTCAGTCAAGATCATTCTCTTATCATGTCTCTCCTGGCGAGGCTAGGTGTCGCATCTTTGAATGTAGGTCACTAATGCTCCCTGGCGTGACTTGCGAGTAAGACCAGTTCAAATCAAAGTTAGACACTTTGTGCGGCTATCACGCTTGATTGCACTTAGTTTGAAAGTTAGCCTCAGCATGCGGCGGTGGTGGTAGAAATTAAGATCGGAGTTCAGAGGTCACACATAGCAACCACATTTCGCTCTGGGTAATATGGGACAGATGGTAGTAAGGGTTAGATTGGTGGGGCGTCGAACTGTCATCCGTCCTGGATTATTGCCTGTCGCTATTCAGCTGCCTCTGAAGGCTCTATACTGAAGTCCAAGTCACAATAACCGGTTCGATTGAACACCTCCCCCAGGCTAACTAGTGGCCTCGAGAAAAAAACATAGGAAACTCCAGATAAGCGGCAGGTTTAGTAAGAAGATGAAGTTCGATTACATGTCGAAACGTACGTTCAAAGAAGATGTCGATGTTTGGCAACTCCATGGCTGCAGTGTTCTCAGTTGCCTCACAGACCAAAGTAATCCATGCGTCTTCCTCTTGCAGACGAATGCTGCATTCTCCACCGCCAGAAGTCTAAAAAGATAATACACATAACCTGCGCATAGGAGTTGGGCAAAAAGCAACTACTCTAGTAAGCATGCATAGCAGAGTTTATAAACCCATCCATAGAAGGAGTTCGTTTATGAAGCCTATGAAACCTTATTTAATAAATCGGTGAAAGTTTAATTTAGGGTCCACTACGGCGCATTTAAATAACCGATTATTTGCGCACGATAATTAAAATGGCCCAATAGAACCTCATTGGAGACAATCGTCTACTCTACAGCCACCTTATATCATATCTATCTAGAATTGATATAGGAATTATATAGAAATGATGTAGAGTTTAAATAGTCGAGGACTGGGGCTTGGAAGCGACGGTTATGTCTAATTGAGCACTAGTTGACCATTTTAATTATCGAGCGCAAATCCTAGGCTAATGGGTTATTTAAATAATTATTCCTATTATTTTCTAATTTATACACTCTACTTTTGAATTATTTTTCCGTTTCCCTGTTATGCCCCACCCATTTAACATTTATTAACACCTGTCCTGTATCACAGAAGGATTGGGTTTTCGCATGCTGTTTGGGACGCTAAATTGAACTTTAACAGATAAATCTAATAATACATGTTATGTTCTGTTGCACGTTTGCCTCGTTGAAATTCGCAGCACATGAGCCTCCAAAAAAGTTCCAATGTAGTACGATGGGCTACTTTAGGGGGCTCGTTCTTATGGTTAAAAAAGAATCAGATGTAAGAACCCAAACATCCAGTCTATCAGAACATTTTCGAACCAAGTCATCTGCCTGTGAAAAAGAGCTATATTTGAACTCATACGCTCACATTATCTCAACGGAATATTAGATATGGCCCCATTTACGAATTGAGCGTGGGAATATTCTGAATTTTCATGTCCATCGAGCTGGCACAGAATGATTCCTAGCGTCTTCCTTATCCGTACTTATCCAGCATATTTAAAAAAAACATATACACTTACCTGACTCCTTCTTAATATATTGGTTTTAAGTTGACTTAAAAGTCTGTGATTCGATTTCAAGGAAAAAGGCAGAGACTAACCTGTCCTTTGCGTTAATGTACAAGTGCCCACCTCTGCAAAATGATAGAGGAGAGCTACTGGCAAAGATCAGGAAATCAGAGTGGCCATTTCTGACTTATGCGCCGTTGGTGATAGTCGTTCGATCCTCTACCGCAGGCCGGAGCTCCAGTTTATGTGTTCGCAGCCTGGGTTCAGTTACTGAGTGACTGGTCGACGACAGCTACTAATTCATGAGTGAGTATTTCAACCCTAGTTATTTTTATTCATAAAACCTCAGATTACGGATCGGACGTTCTTACCTGACCAAGTTATTGTTTCAAGGGAAGACTGGACGCCTATATTCAAATAATTAAGTCAGACAGGGGAGAAAATACACAGAATAACCTTAAGGCTGTCCTATTCTTGAGAAAGTTACATTTCCTGCAACTCTCAATTGGGTAAGTACGTGATAACAGGACGAAGATGTATGATAGAAAACTAATCTGTCGGTGAGCCTAGATAACTGACAGTGTTGACATTACTATTTGTTAAACACAGCATAGTAATAACCGAAGGCAAATGGAGAGCTCCGCAGACTGCAGAAGAATATAAATGTACCTGAATTGTAATCTGCTTGATTGTGGTGTCGGTCTGTGGACTGGGACTGCTGCGTCTTACGCACTGATTAATGGCATGGAAAGGACCCCAGGAGTGTCCGGTTGGAATATCACATGCGGCCAACACCATCGTTTTCTCCGCTTTGTCCCCGCGGGCGGTGGAAAGTTGTAGGTCAGAGGGTAGCGACATTCGACTGCCGGTGCCGCTGCTGGTGCTACCGCCGGAGCCTGTGGTTGTCAGTGGCGCCAGACCCGTAGCGGTAGCCTCGGACTTGGCTTGTGAATGGAGAGGCGGCGTTGAGGAGTTGGAATTTGGAGCATCTTCCATCTGAGTACTCTCTTTATCAGTCTGTGCACAGGAAGCGCTGGCTTGCTCTCGAGAAGCTGCTTTTTTAGAGAAGGAAAAGAAGCAAGATGAATTGATTCCTTCTGTCACTACCAACATTTCTATTGACGATGTAAGAAGCGCTGTTATTATTGTTATAAATATTAGAACTATCACTACTACTGTTGTTTCCACGACTACTATTACAATAGCACCAAAACCGCCGCCGGGCTGCCACCACCTCTATCACCACGCCCGGTATTATTAACAGTATTATTGTAACTGCTGCCGCCGCTACTAATGGTACATTTCACATTTCATCAGATACACAATCTACTATACTAATGATACTACCTCAAAGATGAGCGTGGTAACCGCTCACCTTGAGCGTTTTCGTAGGCAGTAATAATATCACATAAGGAGAACATTATCAGGTTTATGAGCCGCAATGCTTGGGTAATGACTTGAACAGAATGCAAAGACAGAAACTCTGGTGGTATTCAATGCGCTTTTCGCTTCTTCATATTGGGAAACCGTTTACCTACCGATATTTCATCGGACTGGAAAAGGAGGGCTCGAGGTAATGTTAAATTCATTCGATAAGCACCTATTAGATGAGAAGCAGTATACCCTTTCCTGTAATAACTGTGTGTCAGAAACCAATTCGTATATAAAAATGACAATTCGATGAAATACTTTGAACGCATTTAACTTTCAGCACTGCAGCGACATACATGCATGTTAGTGAATAGTACTTCGTTTTTCTGTATTTCGCCATAGTAATTAAAGCGTTTCTAAAGGAATAATAATAGCTTAACTCAAAAATGCCTGCTTCGTTAGGAAAGTATGCTTAACCCACAAAACCCATGAGATCATCAACTTTTATTGTGAAGAGACGCGCGAAAGTAATTTTAACTTAACACTGTTTTTCACGAGACCATATAAAATATTGCAAACTACAAATTCTGCGTAAGAAGATCTTTTAATATTGTCCCCAACGCCATAAAGTTTTATTATAAATTGTAAATTTGCAACTACGAAACACGCGAAAAATATAACGCTATAAAGGATCTCTTGGTGAACATTTACCTACCTCTTTTGAATTTATTTTAATTTAAGAAAACTTATATTAAGTTGATTCCAGAATCTTCCGTTTCCCCTACTACAACAGATATTATTACATAAAATTATGGCTAGCATAAAGTTTGAAAAAAGATAAACTATTATCCTTCTTCTCTCTTGGAAAGGGCGACTATGGTGTTTTTATTCCGGCTTTGCATATTAACCGCAAATCTTTGAAGTAATGACTACTATGCGATAGTTCTATCCCCGAAGGGTTTTCGTTGTGCAAACGTCCTCAGGATCGACTTATTGGAAACCCAGTTAAAAGGATTAAAGAACAGTGAACAAGTGCCATGATATAAGAGAGAGAGAGGAATGTTTATAGAATTAAGTTCGCACCGAGGTCATCAAGACACCACACACAGGAATTAATGTAAAACTAACTGTAATCCTCAAATACTCGTCCAAACAGCAGGAAGTTACTTTTTTGTAATTATAATACTTACTCGCATAGAAAACACTATCAGGGTATTTCGTTCTGCATGCAATTTCAGATTACAAGATAGAGGAATCCTAGCACTTTTGTGATTTCATTTGCTGCGGAAGCTTATTCCAGCAAAATCCACTTCCCCACTTTTTTGTAGGGCGTGTAAAATCAATTATTCTTGTTAACAATTAAAAAAATGCGTTTAAAAAATTCCCTCTATTTGAAGTCGTTTGTAAACAAACGACGTCTTCCGGCGAGCTTACACGTGAAAATTTTTGAATTTTTAGAAGTGTTTTAAGTAGTGTAGTTTGTCAAATATTCAATATATTTTGCAGGTTTTACGGAATTGCGAACGAACTAATGTATTTCTCTCACTTTGCTACAAAGAAGAGTTATTTCCCTCATCAATTATTGGAACACAACAGTAGATATTAATACGCAGCCTATTGGCTTCGTCAAATCAAACGGGTAAAATACCATTTTTCTATCCATAAGAACGCGTTCCCATTGCGGCATTTCGAAAGTCAACTAGTTACTACCTTAAAAAGCCCAATTTATGAAGGCAATATTCATGTCGAATAACTGTGACGAATACGTTCTTTGTCGAGGTCTTTTAGACGAATAACTATCTTCTTCTTAGGGAGGCAGATATTAAAAAATAATTTTGTGGATGTATTTCAATTTCAATTCACTTCAATTTGTGAAGTATTTATTTCATTTATAAAAATATAGGCAGCAACGATAAGGAGACCGGATCGGCCGC